GATCCCAACCCACTTCCATTGAAAATATAACAGAAGCTGGACAAGTCCATTCAACTGATAGGTTTCACTAGGAACCATCTGGTATAAGAAAGCAAGCTGATTTCTTTCTCTCATTGCTGGAGAAAATAAGCCATAGGTGACCTAGAGAAGATCAGAGAGATGTTCATCAACGTGTTAGTGAATTTCATGCATTTGTTTGACACCTACAGGATTTTATCTTTCCTTCAATAGTTTCAGATATTCTTGAAGAAATTCAGGGAAGGCAATTTGACGTAGTGGTTGAGGTGTCAGACTGGCACTGAGGAGATCTAGGTTCTAATTTCCCCTCAGCCACAAATGTTGATTGGTAACTTTGGGCCAATTGTTCTCTCAGACAATCTCAGAGCTCTTATTTGGGGTGGGAGGGAAAGAAATGGGAAGCAGTATAAAAGGTGCAAGATATATTCAACAAACAATGCAGATAAACAAAATGTCATCCCATTTTAATCTAGAGGGAACCTTTTACTCCGATTTTAATTGAGTATTGGGCCAAGAGACCTTCTCCTACCTAAAAAGCTTTAAAATCTGGCTCCAAAATGGAGTGAGAATGGTGGAAATTGTTTCACTTTGGGGCATGTCAGACTTGTTTTTCTGCTAGATTTCACCAGAGCTTCTTTCCTTTTCTTTTTAAAGTCATTTTAATCTCCAGAATCCCGAACTCCCCTAGTCTCCCTTCAGGGGTATTTTACATCATGCTATTAAGGGAAGATCAATGCTGGATCAGATTCAGGCCCATGAAATAGCTGAATAATTTTAGTGGATCTGAGAGCCATCCAGCCTTTGCATGGTATGAGGTGATGCCAAAGCTCACCTGAGGAGGGATTTCAGGTGGTTTAAGGTGTGAATTGGATGTTTTAAGCAACTGCAAATTTTAATGCACCCATTTTAACATTTAAATTCAACCCAAGTTCTGAAAACTGCAAAATGGGACCCAGTTTTTGTTCCCACCCATTCTAGGGGGCACCTTTGGCTCATGTAGTTCCCCATTTTATTGCATCCAGACCCATTCTAGGGGGCACCTTTGGCTCATGTAGTTCCCCATTTTATTGCATCCAGAAGGACATTCAGGTGCATTACCACAGCAACTCTAGTTCGTGTGCCATGGTTAGTGACATTCAGATACATTATCTCTGTAGCCACCAGGACTAGAAGTACTTAGTAGCAGATATTCTCCATGAGTTTGCCTAATTCCTTAATGATGGTGACTAATCTTACATCTCAGGATAGTGAATTTCATAACTTAATAAGACATATGAATAGGAGGGTATTGTATTCAGGTCGGAGGTGGGCATGGGTGTTTTGGATCTGGCAGCCAGCCTCTTAACCCCTTCTTAACTCAAACGTATTTACTTGAGCCCATGCAGCTACTGTCGCAAGTCCACGATGTTCCTTTAGGTTCCCTTAAGGAGCAACCGACCATTCAG